GTGCTCTGGGTGTCCCTGCTGGAGCAGGGAGTTGGACTGGATGAGCTCCACGGGTCCCTTCCAACCTCGACCACTCTGTGGTTCTGTGGTTTGAAGGCTGTTGGTGTAACAAGAGGGCAGAGCAGCCAGGGTGCCCCACGGGAGGAAGGTGCCGTTTGCTCCCGCAGTGACTCCATTTGCAGCTGGGGCCCTCCCGTTGCTGCCAGCCGGGAAGCTCCCAACGTGGCTCTCTCAGAGTTCATCCCTAGCAGACAACTGGGGCACTCGTTACACCGCGAGGCAGACAGAGGTAAGTGCACACAGTTCAAGAGCACAGTACCACGCACACGGGCTCCGTGAGCTGCTCACACAGGAGGCTTCTAACAGTGCCGAGCTTTGAGGACTTTGGCAGTACWTTTTTTTATGCAAAGAAAAATAAGTAGGTATTTTCTTAGATTTAAGARAAAAGAAAAACTTAAAGCCTCATTCAGTCGATTACGACATCAGGTCATATTGACAACACACGCTCCCAAGGAAAGCTGCAGCCTCTTACACTACCTTTGCCTCTAATGCAGTTCAAGGAGCCGGTAACAGCACAGGACCTAGAGCTCCTGCATGGAGCAGCTGGGAGGGCAAGAGGGAAATTCCSCCCCCGACACTGAATTGTACAACTTTATTGTAACGCAGGGCAGAGCAGCACTTGGGCACTGCCAAGTTCAGCTCTACAACTGCTAGGGGAAGGTTTCCAGTAATTACCAGAGGTCCTTCCCTGGCCCCTCTAGTCCTTCACGCTCCAGCCCGCTCTGTGCCTTCCTGGCCATCTTCCACCCACCATTTCTCAGCCTATCTTGCACTGTTTAACATTTACAGCTTTTAAAGTTGTGCCACACACAACTTTTTTCTGTTTTTGACACACATCAAGAAGACTTCTCAGTATATGACACAGACCATCTAAGCCATCAGTAAACTCTTAAGCAGTTTTTAAGCCATGTATAAGGCCACAGGTCATATTCACACCCCTGTTTATTACACTCCCAGATTAAYTGGAGTTATCGTGAGGATGAATTTGGCTCTATGATTTTTGTTAGGGAAAGAGTCCCTCATACTCACAAATCATTTCCCAAAGAAAATGAAAACCARTCAGTGACATGGGGAGCTCACTGGCACCAGCAAGCACCTAATGCTGAAAGAGATGAAACAGCAAGGGGCRAAGAGCAAGGAATTGGTAAGAAAATGGAAATATCTTTGACTAAGGCCAGGCAGACACTTAGTGAGAGCCCAAACTAGCAAGCCTTACCACTCAGAGTTACGTGATCATCCTTAGAGGCACTCTGTGTTTCTTCTAAATGGATCTCTGAGCTCACATCCACTTTCCTCCCCGACAATTGCAAATGAGCTTTGAGAGAGGCAGGCACCTTGACTTTAATGGAACCTGGTATAAATTTAAGTGAGAGTTGATTAACATCCAGATCAAAGCATCAAACAGACAACAATTTAGCCAACTTGAAGCAAGTCATCCCATTTTTAAGAGTATTCAGACACAGCAATCTTTCTTTCTGTCTCTGAAAGAATAAGCAAGGACGATTTCATTTATCACAACCAGAACAATACTCGTAAAATGCATAAAATGGTGCCACGATATTTCCTAGGGGGCCTGGAAAATTAACACCGTTGTACACGGCGAGCGCAGCTCTCACTGGAGGACCTCGTTACAAGGACAATCCATCAGATGATCCTTGTAATGTTCTGGTGTCAGCAGTTGCCTTTGCTTTGCTGCCCAGCACAGGACTGAAAGGCTACAGACTCAAGGGTCTCTAACCACCCCAGAAACTCTCTCTCACCTGCCACCTACCAACAGAACTGCACCTTTGGTGCTCGGTACAGCTCTGCTTTTGAGGTTAAAACATTAACAATGGAAATTCTGACTTCTGCTTCCCCTGAGTGTGAATCCTTTAGGCCACAGACTGAAGGCAACTGCTGGGCTCCGCATCTGCCAACCTTAACTGTGTTTGGAATTAGTCACCGTGTTTGGAAGTTGTCTCACACATTGAAACTAAAAATAGCAGAAGTCAGAACACGCTTGCTGTGCGTACGCTCTCTAGTTTGACTCACTTTAGAAAAACATTTAAAAGTTTCTTTAAATATGCCCAAGAAATCCAATAATGGTATGAACAGAAAACTGACTGTAAAACTTTCAAGCAGCAGTCAGAAAGCAACACCAGCTACAAAACCTAAATCCTGCAGAATCAGATGCCTGTAACAGCCCTGAAAAACAAGCAGCTACCAGTATCTCCATCTAAATTTTGCTGGATGCACAAAAGCTTTAGCATAGKGAAGAGCTTCACTTTTGGGCAATCCTTGGAGAATAGCTCAACGATGTGACTCATAAAAAGCAACACACGTGTAGCTGATTTATCACAAATGGGACATTTTCTGCTCAGCAGTTGTCAGCAGTTACTCTGAATTTACAGGGTAAATGGAAACAGAACTTCATCAACTTTGCCTTCACTAAACTCTGCTGCCAGAACAGATGTCAGGCAATGTTTTGAAGATATCATTAGTTATTTTTTCGTTAAATACATTCCATTTTACTAGAACTTACTATATTTACTAGTAAAAGTACGTAAAAATACCTGTGGAACTATTTTGTATATCCTTGTCCTCTCTATAGAGCTTACCATATTTTAAGATTTATACATTTTCCAATGATGAGAATGTGAGAATGTAGATAATGAACAATCACTAGAAACTCTTTTTTTCCAGACAGACAAGCAACAACCCTCACACTTTTCATTTTAGATCACAAGTTGTCACATACACATAAAAACCATCTGTTCCAGTCTACTAACCTTTCTGGGATTTCAGATCCACTTTTCTCAATTGACTGACATAGACATCTATTGACCCATGATCTGTAGAAGCTTTTAGACTTCCATCAGAGGAATCTAAAAAAAGAGAGAGAAAATTAAAGGATTTTATCTCATTTCTCTTTTTCAATAAATACTTACTATATTCATTCGTTATTCTTAGTTTCTGGATGTGCAGAGAAACACAGACAAACTTTCCGAGCTGGCTAAAACAACAAAATCCAACCTGACTGAATCTTGCCAGTTTTACACAACGAAAGTTCTCACTGGAGAATACACCTCATTAATCACAACCACGATGTCTAGCATTAAAACCCTTAAACCCTTAAAGCTTTCCATATAGTTCTTGTGTTAAACTGAACTGGAGCTTTTCTCATCCAAGATCTCAAGCACAGATGTGGAAGGTCAGAGTACGTAACACTAAAATCATGAAGGAAAAATGTGGGTTATTATCCCACAGCTAAAACTGATTGCTTTGGAGGCGGAAAGCAGCCGGTCGCTGCTCAGCCTGGGGGCCCCATCTTTTGGCTAGTGAGAAAACAATGATAAAGTATAGAACTGCAAAGGGTTTTCCCATCTCCATGAATTCTGTGTTAAAACACTTCTCCAAACCCGAATTAAAGGAAAAAAGAAATCCTCGTTAATTGAAATGAAAGATCTGGAAAAAGTGCTTTGCTTGGCTAAGTTACAATGAAGACACTGTGTCCCTGCTGGAGCAGGAGGTTGGACTAGATGATGTCTAGAGGTCCYTTCCAACCTCAGCCATTCTGGGATTCTGTGATATTTTATTGATAATGGTTATAAACATCTTAGTGAAGTTTCCAAATGACAGATTTTGAAGCCTGACAGATTGGCTCGCAGCAGACACAGGAGATATCTGGTCTCCTGCTTTTCTGTTTTAAACAAAACACGCAGGGAGCTCCTTTATCTGCACTGTGAGAAAAGAGGGATTCCCAAAAGCACAGGAACTCCTTTCAGGAAAAACAACTGCTAACAGTCCATACAGGATAACCAGCTGATGGTACTTTACAGAGGTTAAAGATTATTTAATTATTATTTTCCTATTCTTCACCAAAAGTCTCCAAATCCAAAAGCAGCTCTTAGGAGATACAGTGGTGCTGCATGACTGCATAGTCTTCTCTTTTTATTCTTTTATTTTTTAATTATCTATATTAAGAAAAATCTGAAAAATCCTACCCCAACTGCTTTGGAAAGCTCCATTCTGGGCGGATGCCTTGCTTGCTACCTAGCTGGATTTGGACTCCCAACATACACCACTTATCAGGAAGTTTGTTGTGATGGAGGGAAAAAATAATCCCTGGAGTAAAGTTTCAAAAACACTGAGAACTTTGGCAGCATTAACCAAACTACAGCAGATTTTACAATACATGTTTAGCTCTGATTTATGGAAGCAACGTGAAATATACTTTGCAGAAACAACTGGATGTGATTTATGATTTCTGGAAACAATTTTATAGTTATGAGATTAAATGCAAATGAATAAGGATACGGAGAGACGTCAAGTTGGCTATCATTTCTGCAAAGTCTATTAAAAATGCTGTTGTAATTTCAAGCCTCTGTAACTCTTAAACAAATGAGACAAAAAATGCAGGAAAATGGAATAAAACACAGCCAATGTTTTAACGTTTTAGCAAGAACATTAAGTTTTTCAACAAGAAATACTTTTGTATAAAATAGCACAGACTGGAAGGAACACAGCTGAAATAATGGAGACAATATATGACAGTAAAAAAGCTGCAAGGCCATTTATTTTAAATGTAAATACATAGCCAGCTTTAGCTGAGACTCATGTGCGTAACTGAGGATAAGAAACATGAAAAAGAAGTGGATACTTTAAATTCAGAATCTGTTATGGACTGACAGCTCAAGAGGAAAGGCAAGGATGAATCTTTCTAAAGGAAACAGAGCAGACGGTCACTCTTGAGTAACTCTGGCTATTTAAGAATTTGCTAGTGCAAGAAAAAGGCAGTGAAGCAAAATGCCCTTGATAATGTTTTGCTAAGCTTTGTGGAGAATAACTTTTCCGCAACAGGGACCAGCTTTGTTGGTCTTTCTAACTCCTAAGAGAGGAAGCCAGATTCTGGTCCCACATGAGCAAAGCTCTACGTGCCGAAGAGCAAGCTGGAGCACTTCCAAAAAAGACACTGATTCTCAATTAAGACAACCAAAATAAGAAGTTGTGCAAACTAATAGATGAGGGGGAGTGCAGATATTACATGAACAGTAACATAAAGAAATGCCCAGACTGCAGTTTTCACAGGTGCTCTACAGAAAGTCCCTAGAACAGCAACACCAAGAAAAAGAACAAGCTCTGAAAGAAACTCTTCTGTTAGAACATCATGGCAGTTCCCTTCTTTTGAATTGCAAAGTTTAGAAGGAATCAGAGATATTTTTAAATTCTTGACTTACAGTGGAAGAGTTGCATGAATACAGCAAAGCCTAAAAAAATGTACCAATTGTTGCTTAGATATAATCTTACGGATCAAACAAGAGGAGTTCTGKTTTTTTTTTCCTTACAAATTATCTWTTTGCTACAGCCAATCTGCCTGCTAGTCTTTCTGTTTAAAAGATAACTCAGAAAATAGGTAACTTGCGAAAAATTGTAGAGTGACAAAACTGAAAGCTCATTCACAGCACTAACCATTTAGCATCTACTTCCCTTCATTTTATAAAACTAAAAAGCCTTAAAGAATGAACACAAAAGATTTTGCCTTAACCCAAGCAAAAACATCCTTACTTTTCCCAATGGTGTATAATAATTGTCCTTATTCATTACAAATCTGTGTAAAACTTTCATTCAATGGAAATTCAATGGAAAAATACAAGATCTTTATTATAATTTGTTTCAGGATAGCAGAAACAATGTAAGATTCCATCATATGTGAAGCATGAGAAAGATTTATGTTTACTTAGCTGGCTATCTTATATTGTTTTGATAAAGATTCAGAATGTTTTAGGAGGGTGAAGGATAATAGGCAAATGGGGATGGTGATGATAAAGCTAAGTAACAACTCAGCCAATATTAACATGTCCATAATAATGGATTYTCTCATTTTTAAAGAAAAGCCTTTGCTTTTTTCCTCATATCCTTATACATGAGAGATCCTAGCCTGCCTGGGGAGCAGACATGCTTAATATAAAACACAGTTTGCAAACCAGCAGGCAAGCTTGGTAGGTTGGTCTTGGACACAGCACAGAAGAAAGCAGGAGAACAAATTAAAAAAAAGGTCTGTGAGTAGGAAAGCACAAAGGAGAGACCAAGTTCTGCAATATGAGGTTGGAAGATGAAGAACCAAGCAGCATGAATAATAAAGGAAATAGCATCGACTCTATCAGTAGAAGGAATTTCTATTATGAGCCAAGTTTGTGCATGGATCATATGTTAAAAAAGTACCAAAAATATTTTAAAGCAGAGACCATAATGTCTTTAATATAACACAGAACTGTGGTTTCTACTTTAAAAATTCCCTGGATAACACATCCAAAGGTGAATGCTCAGGCAAGAGCACCGATGCAAAATAACTTCTAGGTAAGTTATTGTCTACTGTTTTCAGTTATTGAAAATATTTCAGTTCTTTCAGTCGATACTGATATTTTTGTATAACTGAGTACAGTGCATAACAGTACAGTTATGCACTCAGTTATGCAAAAATATTTTGAAGAGCATTTTTGTTTCTCATAATTAATACTCCTCCTCAAAGGAAAATTTTAGCCACCTGTCTCTGTACCAGGGAACTGCTGCACAGCCCTCCTCACAAGACAAGGGCCAGGCTCAGACACCTCTGTTCACCTTCGTGTCGAGGCCGTACTCACATCTCAAGTTGCTGCCACACAGGTTTTTGACAAGGTTGAAATTTATGTATTTTTATTTTCAGCAGTCTTAAAAGAGTGAGTCAGTCACAGCAAGTCTCAAAAGCCTTTAGGTCTTCCACAGTGTCAGTTGCCAAAGAAAGGTTAGAATAAAAGAAACCCCCACAGAATTTTACACAATGTCATTTTTTTGTTGTTTGTTCCAGGTTTTTGTCATTCTACTTTCTCTAATAGTTCCTGCTGCCTCTAAGCTGGACCCAGCCCACCCATCCAAAATGGGGAAACACGATAGCAAACAAAATAACTATGACTAGTTTTCTTATTCTTACAACACCAGACCCACTAAAGTTCTGCTGGCCACCAGTATCCTGCATTTATTAACCAACACAAGGCCAGGAAATGAAGAGAGGGGATTATTCCCCTCTACTCACAGGCCACATGCAGAAGAATGCAACCAAGGCTGGGGCTATCACTAGAAGATGGGCATCAATGAGCATGAGTGAGGGCAGCAGTTGGCTTCAGATTTGAGGCCACTGGATTGGCCCCAAAGTTGGTCCCAGATCCCAGGTCATGGATCCCAACACCTGGCCTGTGAGGAGGTACTGAGGGATGGGGCTGTCCGGCCTGGAGCAGGGACAGCTTCAGGAGGCCTCGAGCAGCTCAGGGTGTCTGCGAGGAGCAATGAAGGGTGCCCCAGGCTCCTCAGAGTGGAGCAGGACAAGAGAGCTGCTGGAAGCGGAAACAAGAGAGGTTCAGACTGGGTGTAAGTCCGAACTTATATAAAGTTCTGTATATAAAAACAGGAAGTTCTATCTCCAGGTGAGGAAGAACTTGTTTGGTGTGAGGGTGCCAGAGCCCTGGCCCAGGCTGCCCAGGGAGGCTGTGGAGTCTCCTTCTCTGGAGATCTTCCAAAGGCGCCTGGATGCCGCCCTGTGCCCTGTGCTCTGGGTGTCCCTGCTGGAGCAGGGGGCTGGACTGGATGAGCTCTAGGGGTCCCTTCCAACCTTGAAGATTCTGTGATATAAGGAAAATCTTCCTTCTTGAAGATGGTCAAGAAGCAGAACAGTTGGCCCAGAGAGGCAGTGCAAGCTCCAGCCTCAGGGGTTTTCAAACAGGGATGGTCTGACCAAACCTGCTCTGACCTCACAGTCAACATTTGTTTGGGCAGGAGGTGCCAGGCACTTCAAGTTGCAGTGATACCCCCTATCAAAAATATAGAATAGTTCAAAAAATAGAAACCCGTTTACATAGAAAAATAATACAAACTAGCCAAACCAGATAAAACTTTCTTTTTTTAACTGACAAAACAGCTCTTGTTCTAAAGTATCTTGTTCTAAAGATAACTAAAAGAAAACACACAGAAAAAAAGGAGAGCAGTCCCAGTTTTATAACGCAAAATTATACAAGAACACAAAACTGTCGATTTATGCAGTTGCTTGGTGTTTTTCCCCCAGCCTAATACTCTTAGAAGTATTCTTAACTATGAGTTAGACGGGTAAATAAATCCCCAAAAAGCTAAGGATCCAGCTCAAGAATCTAGAGATGAGCAAGTTCTCCAGTTAATGAATAAAATGCGTTGCTAACTCTATAAAACTGCAAGCTCGACTGGTAGGAATGAAGAATAACTTTCTATTTCTGCCTTGAGAGTCCCTTTGAGAGGGAGAAGCTGCAGACCTCAACTCTCACACCTCGCAGGGTTCAGCAACACTGTGCTCTGCTGCAAACTTTCTACTTTCTTGGTTTTGCATGGGATGGATGCAGTATTAGTGGGTCAACGTGAGTAGGTGGGTGAATGGAAATATGAACTCAGTGTCGCCAAAGAAAGTTTTAGACTTTCTTTGGAAACGCACATCACGTTTTCCAGGATGTTCACTGAAGGAATAATTAAGCTTTTGCTTGCAGATGGAAACAAGCATCCTAACCTCAGACTACCCAAGGCAGCAACACCTTTGTAGCTGAACCTGCAGCAGAAATTTAGAAAGTCTATGGCTGTAAAAAGCAAAAAGGAAAGAAATACCTTTCGTTAACAGCTTTATTAAGAGCTTGATGCTGACACTCGGCCTTTAGAAAAATAAGCATTGCCTGTCTACGAAAATCTAGTCCAGGAAGTCAGAGGATCTGTCTTTTTCTTCTCATTTCTGTCATCAAATTTCTGTTGATATTTGGCAGTCCAGCAAGTTATGCTGTGCCCTATATTCTTCATACACGAAGGCTTCTACTTCTAAACTTTTTTACATTTCTTTTTCATTTATCTCAAGTTGTTTCATTGATCTCAGGAGTTGATCTTAAAAGGCATTTTTGCTTCGAAAAAAATCCTAAAGAAAAAAGAATCTAGATGAGGTTTTACCCTCTCTGGTAAAAGGCTAAGTATAATTTATCCTCTCAGAATTGAAAACTGAAAAAACAATTCAACTACCAGGCTTACCAATGCTTAAACTAAACCCGATTAATTAAGGAAAATAATCACCATTTGTTGGTGGAAAGAATCATCACATCCTGTGTTAAAAAACATTATTTAATAATTCTCATATTCCGTTAGTTATTTAACAGAGGGAAAAACAGAGCAACAAGCCTGATTTAAGTTTGTGGTTTAATGACTAACCCTTAAGAATGTGTATTGCATTTATTTTCCAGGGACATTGATATAGATTGTTTAGAAGTACAAAAAAGTTGTAATAGTACAGCCTATTCCTGAAAGATGCTTAGTAGCAGGGTCACTATCATCGGCAGGAGACTTTGAGATTTGGTTCAGTAAATATGTTTATTTGCAGAAGTCCTTCAGGATTTCATTGGAGACAGTTTGTTACTTCAATTTTCTATCAGAGAAATAACCAGGATTATAGTGTTGCACTTCTATGTCAACGTACTGCAAAAAAAAGAGTCCTAGCATTTTCCTAAGATAATGTAGTAATTAATACACCTCTTCCCACTGCATAAAAGGTCAATTTATCCCTCCCCCAAAATCTCCCTTTGTTTCATTGTGACAGACAATGGTCAAAGCACCTCTTTAGAAAGTAGCAGTAGCTTTTTAAGTCTTCCAGGAAGCTGTTTTTCTTCAAACACAACATGTAATTCAGCAGTGACTACAGGATACTCCATGACACAAAAATTAAACAAAGCTTGTCTTTGAAAAATAACAGATAGAAGATACAGAGCAAGGTTAAGAGGCAAAACGATCATATCTGAGGCACACTTGATTTTCTTCTCATGGCCTTACATCCTCTCTTAATCTTTTCCAAAAGAGCAAAGAGAGAGAAGAGTGGGAAAGTAGAATATTATCTTAGAGATAAGGTAGAACCCACCTACTGTGATACTCCCCGTCTTGGTCTGCAGGGTGGTGTTGCCTATTAGAAAAAAGAAAAAAAGAGGCATTTTAATATTAAAAGCAAATTTAACTTTTCTCAAATCATTACAGATTAAAGGAATGTGATGCCATGTACATCTTAGTACTACGGTACTAATACACCTTAGTACTATATATCACTAAATATATATATATAAACTAAATATATATATATAAATTTATATAAATATATAAAAGCATATTTAACTTGCATTTAAAAGCAGAACAGGGTAAATTACCCTGCCTAAACATTGTTGCTTTATAAACAAACAAAAGAAACAACAACATATGTGGATAAGTAACAGTGAAATGATTTCAGAAATAAGAAAAGCACTGGATAAAGCTTCAAGGCAGAGGCTACATATGGAAGAGGGAAAAGCAAAAGGCACTTTGCATTCAGTCTTTTATTTGGGGACAGTTCCCACCCTCCACCACATTGTTCAGATGACTGCAACAGCACTCTGGCTGTTCATGGCAGTTTAACAGGATGAGTAACAAAGCTATAAAGCCACTTCAATGAAACAGCAGCCATCTGAGAGACACACAGACAGAATGAGTCTGTGTGAGCAGATACAGACACTTGTGTGGGCCTGGAGACTCTGGAGAGAGAAAAAGAAAAACAAAAATCCACTCTCCAAGCTGAGGACAAGGATTTTCTGCTTTAGCCTGCAGGGCTACTTCCTAGCCAAGTCCTAGAGAAGTCATGAAAATCGGCTACTCCCTCCAAACTGAAGGGCATGATGACCCACTATCAATAGCTTTTATTGACCTCTCACAAGGCTCCTCATGTGTTAGGCTGCCTGAGGAGGATGAGAAGGTGCAAAACATGAAATGTAGAGTGGCCTCTTGCTGAAGCTGCCAGTGCCTGTTCAGAGCAACGTGCAGGATTTCACTCTTAAATCTCAAAATGAGAGCTCCTCCTCAGCATATGGCAGCACAAGAATCTGAAAGGATGGGATATCTCATAGGAAAAAAGCCATCTATATTTGTTAACAGTCTAAAGAAAAAAGTTATTTGAACATTTAAAATTCAATGTTTATCATAAATGTACAATTACATCACAAACAAAACGCTTTAAATGAAAGAACTAAACCACAACAGTTCCTTCCTATCACTCCTTCATGTTCCCAGAAGGACAACAGACAAACAAAGTTGATCACAATAATGTTATCCAATTTTAGTAATACATGACATTTAGGAAAATTTTCAGATCCTTTGGAAGAGGCCTTTCAAATTTTGCCAGTTCTGCTCCCAACATCCCCCAGCAGCTAAGCAGCAGTGCACAGAGATGAGGGCTGAGCCCATCCCAGCAACGCAGCTGGCACTGGATTTCTTAGTGGTCCATACATTGGAAGCTAAAAAAGCAGCCTGTTATCAACAGTCCTACATTTATTGTTCCAAGCACACTCGGCACAAAATACTTGGTGGTTGTGCATGCCAGAGTTGAAACGAAAGCATTTTTCAATGCACTGGCAAGAGGTTTGGTTTCACTGTAACCTTTCCCTTCCCCTCTAAGAGATACACACACACACTATATAATTATCCAACCTCTTTCCTCCCTCTTTCCATAACTAGCACTTATTTCTGTACAACAAACAACAAAAAAATCCATGTCTTTTGTAAACTAGCAAGTCTCACGAGCTGAAGCTGCATTACACAGGGTCTGAATAGAGCTCCTGAACTTGTAGATTTACTGGCTGTTCTTCATTTTTCTCTTTTTTTGCTTTGTTTAGTTAAACAGATCTCTGAAGAACATTAAACATTTAGAGATCAAACTCCTATTAATCACTAACTTAAAACATGGCAGATATGACATGAATGCACACACTCGCACGTTATGGTGACAGCTACAGGTCAAATATTTAGCTAGAAGGGAAGCAGGTAGGAATTTCCTGCCGTGCTGCAGCCTGCAACATCCACAGGCCATGCATAAAACCCTACTTTTGGTCATGCAGCCATTCCACATAGGTCTTTGTGAAGCTGAACTACTCTTTGGTTCCAGATACATCAGGGGAAAGAGAGGAAAGGCTAGAGGAAGGCATCAAGATGATGAGGGGGCTAGAGCACAGGACCCAGAACTGGCTGGAAGAGCAGGGCTTGTTCTGCCTTAGAAAGAGCATCCTGTTGTGGTCTCTGGCTTCCTAACACAAGGGCACAGAGAAACCAGCCGGCCTCTTATTGGGGAAACACAGCAAAAAGAGGGAGAGCGATTACAAATTGCCACAGTGGAAATGATGACTCAGTTTCTCAGCACAAGGGTAATTTCGGGCTGGAACAAGTTGCCCAGAAAGTCTGTGGAATCTCTGTCCTTGGGGATAATGCCGAGCTCAAGCAGACAAGGCYGAGAGCAAGCTGCTCTAGCTGACCCTGCTTGTAGCTTGGCCTACATGTCAAGAAGTCCCTTCCAACCCAGATTACTCTGCAATTCTAAGAAAAGCGACTCAGCCCAAGGCTTTGGCAGAGCTGCAAAGGAAGACGAGTCTAAATCCCTGTTTATTTCTYCTATGGGCCTCAATGCAGAGAGGTTTCACTCATGTTTTTGCCCTTAGATACAACAGCATATTTCTCAGCCTCAAAGTTGTGGCCTTCTTCTGTGTGTGTCTGCTCATTAAAGTGACTCTAAAYCAGTATCTTCAAAATAAGGCATTAATCTTTTATCCTGAGCATGAAGCTTGCAAAAGAGCAATGCAAAATGCCTCCATACAACRGATTACCTCATCTCTACCTTAATTTCTCCCTGCAATAGTGGAGTGAACAGTCCCAGCTCAACCTATTCAGTTGTGGATTGGTCTACAGGAAAAAAATCCTGTGCACTCACCCACATTTCCATAGAGACCTTGGCCCCTCATTCTCAGAGTATCTTTTAAAATATTTTAATGACCTTCTTTAATCAAATTTAACTGGGAACAGCACATTTCTGAACATTTCCAATAAAACTGCTGGTTTGAAGCAGTTAAGATTTTCTATTTAAAGGTATAATTGGTTCCAGTATGAAGGTTTTATTTGGGGACTTGTTTGAAAAGCTTGTGTTATCAGTATTTCCTGCAGTGTAAGAATTACACCTTGTCACAGAGAAACACTTTAATGTTTAAGAAAAACATTTTTAAATTCCTCAGTTACAAAAGACGTACAAACAGTTTAGTGGAAGAAGGAATGAAATGACAGACATTAAAAAATTAAACTCAATTTAAATGTTGAATGCTACTTTTAATCATGTTCTCAGCCATAATATAGGCATTTGATAAGAAACCACAAGAGAAGTTTTCATTCTGCAGCAGGAAGCCCCGCTTGAGCACCGTGTAACATGCAGTGCACACAACAGGCTCATGCTCTTTGAAAGGCTTGGGCAGCCTTTGGTCTGTAGCTTGTTTTTACTATGATAAAGGGATTTGGTTTTGTTTGCAAGTGAGAGCAGAGAGGTAAAAAAGGAAATAATTCTGTCTATATACTCGTATCTCCAGAATCTGAGATATAAACAGCAAAAATATTGAAGATATAACTGCTATGAGATTGCTTGAGGACTACAATACAGAATTACTAGAGTGTTTCTGACCAGAGTCAGCTTTAGCATTTCAGGCCTCAATCTAATTTGATTCAGGATTAAAACTGAAGTACTTCACAAGGCAAAGACTACAAATGAGAGTGACCAATTTAATTTTTCTAACTAATTTTAACTAATTCTATTTTCCACTAATATACATCTTTATTTTAGCAATGTTTGGTCTTAGTACTGAAAGACTGAGGAGCATAATGTTTTGCAGGAAATATTCTTCTGAAAGAACAGACTGCAAAAACCAAGCAAATCTTGATGTACAAATTCTATTAAAAGGAACAGATAAAATAACATTAGGTCTTCCAGACCCATTTAATAAAGAGCTCATGAAAATAACCCTGCAGTCATGTAAGAAATGTCTGTATAATTTGGATACAATTCTATTTGTTTTCACATTGTTCTTCAGTGAAATTATAACAAGGCATTACTAAGAGGTAAGTCACTAGCTACAGCTGTTATTATTTCATTTTAGTACTAAGATAACAAAAATAATCTTTTGGATGCATATAGATGCATGAGCACACTCATACTGACCATTCCACAGATTGTATCTGCTGGAGGGTAGAAAAGTCAGCTTATTTGCTGGCAGTAACAGTCTACATGTTAGAAAAACAAACAACCACAAACCCTTAGCGCTGCCTACACAGGCTGAAAGGAACTGTAGCTAGCAAGGCTGGAAATCAGGTTTCAGCCCATGCCACATCAACAGTGGAACTGGTCTTTCAAAGAAGGAAGGAGAATCACTTCTGAAGCAAGATAAGCCCACAAAATTTCAGCAAATTGTTTACAGGGCACAAAGCTAAAAGCCTGGACTCAATATATTGATTTCACACTCTCTCTTCACACACCCTAGAGTTTTAAGTAAAAGAAAAATCCCTGAACACATTAAAGACAGTTCCGTAGTAATTTTGCTACATTACAACCACACAACGAGTTTCAACCTTGACTTATTTACATGAAAGACACCAGAGTTAGTTAGTTTTAGTTCTAGATGAAGAACAGTAAGGGGTGGAAGGATGAAGGAATGTGTCTTTCATCTTCAAGAATAGAAACTGTCACTATTCTATTAGCATAGAGTGCCAGCACACACAGAGCCCATTTCCAGGAAAAACTTCTAGATATAACCATATTTTACCAGAAACCTCATTGGGAGCTGGGGATAAGAAAAAGCTGGAGAGGAAGAATGTGAGGGTGGGAGAAGCATCCTTCCATCCCTTCCCTCCTTCTTTTTAATATAGTTTTAGTGCTTAATTACAATACTTTAACACACCCCTAGCATGTGTGCCATGCTTCTTCTCTATAACATCTGCTTTTTCCTATTTCACAAGGAGCATACTTATAAAACCGTTTTAGAAATAAGCGCCATTTGCTATATTGTAAGCTAATCCTCATCAGCTCAGCCTCTAACATTGACTCATTTTGCTCTCATACTACACATAATTTAGTGATAACCTAGAGCTTTAGTCCTTTTGTTATTAGGAACATTACAGACACCAACAGGACAGCTACATTTCTGACAATATTTCCTTACCATGAATACTTCCCAGTAGAATATCACCAGTTTCTGACGACAGGGATGACGTTTCTGCGTAAAGATACTTAGTTTTCAGCAGCCCATCTTCAGTGGATATGTTGATGGAAGTGCCCTGCAGCTTCTCTATACTCACGCTCTAAGAGAAACAAACTTAAATAAACATAATGGAAAACTTGTCATCTCATTTTGGAAAGGCACAAAGAAGTAACACTACTAAGGAAAGCAAGCTTCGGTGCAAAACAAATGAAATTGAGTTCTCAGTTAAAAACTGCACAAGACAAAACATCTTTATGCAGCTCTAAATAACAATTTAATTAAAGTTTACAATATTCCTATGAATTATTAGCTCCATCAATACAGGCAAAGGACTCAAACAATCAAAACCAGATCCCTAAAAGAATAACTTGACTATTTTAAAAAGAATCCAAGTAGTGTCTTTCAAAAAGATGGTTTTTGGTTTTTTTGTTTGTTTGTTTTCAATCACAGCTTTAATAACTAAGACTTAATGCTCATATGTGACTATGACACTTAACAGCTTTGGTAATGAGCTTACCATGGTGACATACCAAAACCCACAGCTCTTCTTGTACAACGCAGGTATTTAGGCAGACTTTTCACTTGCTCACTTTGTGAACATAACTTCTTACAACAATAAAAAAATAAAAAATAAAAAAATAAAAAAAATAAAAAAATAAAAATTAAAAAAAATAAAAAATAAAAAAATAAAAAATAAAAAATGCCTTGAAAAATGAGCGAGTATCTGCCTTTCCCCCCCCCCCCTTCCTCTTTTCCTTCAATAAAACTGTGGAGATAAGAAAAGACTTGGAAAATTGTGCTATTGATGGACTGGAAGAATAAAAGGTGGTAGCTACAATAACATGATCTACATGCAAATAACAAGTCTTGCAATTAACTTGAGACTGTACAAAGAAAGTACATGCCATCCTCAGCAAATGCCAGGAGAATGGAATATTATCCTTCTCAAGTTAAAGTTGATTTATAAGGGATTCACATAAGTTCATGTTTAAACCTCATTTAACAGGTTTTTAATTTGCTCACATTGACTCTTCAGTGAATCATTATTCAGAGTGATTCACAGCCTTCTAGCTCAAACTATCTCATGTCCATGTACCTTGAAATCCTCTTACTCACTTTAACACCTTTATATTGTGAAAAAGTTAATACACAAAAATACATGTTGTCCCTTCCAGTGTTATGTTCCCTGCAACTATGTCCTTGAAATGTATTTCACCATAGTACAAAGCGAAGACACCAAATAAAAGCCGCTGTCATTTTAGACTCTAGCATCTCAACCTTAAAGCTTAATTTATTACCAGGGTATGCAAGATGTGATCCTATTTAGGGATTTACCTTATTTATATATTATTTTATTGAAAGAATACACTCATGTGTTGATTGCCCCTGCATATCAGTCTCAACTACCTTTCTCATAAATGCACAGCAATAAGCAAGTCATTTTAATGACTATTAAAAATGCTTAATAAATACTTGATACTTAATAAAAAGCACCGAGGCAGACAGTTAATATAAAAAAATGCTTCAGAAGAACCAAAACCCAGGAGGGGAAGGAGGAAAAGAAGGGAAGAAAACCAGATTGCTCCAGTCCAGAACTAAGGCCTTCGAGATCGTGAGTTCACACTGAGAGGAAATACATTTTCGATCCAAGTTATTTAGCTTCTATGAATTTTTGGCAGAAGGCAGTTGGCTTCGTTAACTAAGCGCTCTACAGAGTCCCCATGGCACAAGGCAGCTCATAACTCTCCAGTAGAACAAATTGGATGATCTGGTCTGTTCCCCACAAGATTTTCTGGGAAACCTCCCTCCCTTGAGGGCAGGGTCACGGGAGCTGCAGTCAGTGAGCCCCACTATACGCTCAGGTTCTGGCAGTTTTTGCTTATCCTTTTTAAAGAGAAAAAATAAACACCAAAAAAGATCGGTCTGTCATAAATCAGACTGAAATGGTTTTTGCACCTGAGCCTATTTTCAAGATGGAAACTAACACCTTGCTGCGTTTGAGTAAAACAATTCCCTCCTCGCACACTCTATCCTTCATCATGCTCAGATATTTGATGAGTATAGTCACTGTTTTTCCCTCCCCTTCAAATATTTTCCCCGTTTCTGAAGTGTTTAGTGTCTTCTACCACATCCTCACCTGGTCCAGGAGGGAACTGAGGAATCCCTGACACCACTGGCTTGTAACAGAAACGCTGACAGGGCTGTAGCTACCCAGCGATGACAACCCATGGAAGAAACTTCTCATACCAGCACACGTGGGACGTGCGAGGCAGGCTGATTACTGGCAGGAAGGGGCAACTGAGAAAACAAATCTCACTCTCTATACAGCTTATTAATGAGAATTTCAACATCGAGCCCAAGTTCTGTTCTGTATTTGTAAATAAAGAAGACTGTGAACTACCTCTGCCTCCTTTTGTCCCTGGCTACGGGAAGCAGACAGCGTTCCTGGCTGCTCGTGGCTTGGGATGAATCCCAACTCTATTAACCAGTAACAGGCCCCAAAGAACTGCTGGTCAATCAGCAGCGATCATGGGACTGTGGCATCTATCAGACTTTCAGTGCTCAGACTTTTTATGCTGGGATGAGAAATGTTCTTGTGAAAAGGATGTGTGACTGTGTACAGACATAAACACAAGAGAAAAGCGCAGCTACAGCAGCCTCGAGGCTCCTTTGCACATAAAAAGGATGGTTAGTATCCCCTACAAAGAAATGCAGGCAATTTAATACTGACATTTTTTCATAAATGCAGCAGCAGGTAAATTCATGCTGTAAACCAGGTAAAGCTGTATGTAAGTGACTGTATGATGTGAGAATCTGATTTACAGACTGCATAAGAGCACCAAAATGGAACCTATRTAGGTTTGTACTCTTGGATTTACAGCTTGGGTTTGATTCTTTCCTCAGAGAAGATGGAATTCTCCCAAATCTTGTATGTTTTTCTGATTCTTCCCAAGAATCTGTTCTGACARCACTGCACTCATACCAGCAACTTCCTGCCTTGCCGCTGCTCTACGCACTCAGGTAGCAGCCCTTCTGCTCTAAGAAATCAAATCGAACTGAAGAACCAGCCCGGGCCTGGAAGTCTTAGTATTATGGAGGGCCTAGCTCTACATTATTCAAAATAATGGAGAAATTACTGGGTTTTTTTTTGTCCTACCGTAATAGATAAAAAAAAAAGTAGCAGTAGGAAGTTAATCTCATACTGCCCTCTGCAGAATAAAGCAGGCTACTYCCTTCTGCAGTTGTTTCTCTGCTCATGGTACTTCTCACTGAATCGCTCACCCCTCAGTTAGACTGGGTTTTATTTTCTCAGCTGCAGATTAACACACAGAGTGCAGCAGTTTCCAGTTTCTCACTGTAAAATGCTGGAAGGGTAACGCACATCAAGGCCCCAGCAGGAGACACTAACTCARGTGCCTACTGCAGAGTTTAAGTGCATAAATATCAGCCAAGGTAAAGTCCATTTTGAGGGTCTACATAATAAAGGCCAATGTGTTGTATCAGCCCATGAGAGATAAGTAAATGCAACGTTACAAGTTGCATTTTTACTCAATAATATGCATTAGTGTGCAAAACTGAGTGGTTCATATAGTTTTTTTGCACAAAATCAAAATTCCTATAAGAATTTGACTCCTTTATTAAAAGAAAAAAATAAAAGCTTAAATTATATCCTACAAGCTGCATGTTGACAGAATACTCCTGTACTTTTTGTCACCTTTTTGTGGAGCCTCTGTTTACTACTCCAAACCAAGCAAGACAGATAACTGCATGGCAATGACAATTAATGGACAATTAACCAACAACCATTACATTTTGAAGAACATTTCCATTTTAAAGGATGCTTATTAATTTGCAACACACACGCCGAACTAGTGATGTCCACTGGGAAAAAAAAGCTCCACTTCTTACTTACACCCTTCTCTGTAGCACGAATATCTGTATTTCCATAGAGTGTTCCAAGACCAATTACTTTGCCTCCATTTGTCCGTATGTTGATTTTATGACTCTGAAAAACAGAGTTTACCATTCATAGTTAGGTAAGGAAAGCAAGAAAAAATAATGTTGAGCAACCTTTTACCATCAAAATAGTTCTTTGAACAAAACAGGTACCCCGTATCTGCTGAAATAAGTAGCATGGAGCAAGCTGGTTCTTTGGATTTTCTTTATACCAGCAGCAAAGGGAAGCACATGCCCAGTGCTGCAGTGTAGATTAAAGACAGGAGCTAACAATAAGAAGCAACTTACAAACTAGAATCAGTACAGTTAGTGCCACAGAACTCTCCTTAGGATTCTATACCTAATTAGCACAACTTACACATATATCACCATACATTTCTGCGACTACTTCCCAGTACATTACATTCCAATTCAGTATTTAATGTAGAGCAGCTGCATTGCTATCATTTTTTCCCCCAAAGAAACCAGTTTTAAATCTAACTGCTTTATACCTTTGGGCTGCTGCAAACAACTGAAAGAAAAGCAAATTAATGAGATATATCAAAAAGAGGAAAGAAAGGTAGCAATTATAATTAGGCAAGCAATAAATATACCAGAAACCATAAAACTTCTTAAGAGAAAGTACTCTCAAAAAGACAAATATTAGGTCTTGAGGCTGAAAACCAAACACAGGAGGGGAAGGCGGTGCAGGGAAAAAAGGGAGAGATCAAATTTGAATTATTTAACTATACCTTCCTACTATCACGCTGAATAGGGAAGACCAATGTCAAACTTCTGGGGGGTTCTCTCTAAAGACACCAAGCGTTACACCCAAACCTAGCAGGTTTTCAAGTTYCAACTTAAACAGCCTGTGGGAGGTTCAGAGAATCAGCAGCTGTGACTTTACTCACTGGATGCTCTTAAATAACCCTCTCACGACCAGAGTTTGTGGGTGCTGGAGGTTGCTGCTGCTGTTTGATTTAGAAGTCACAGATCAATGATGCTTTGCTCTCTGCTTTAAAGAGATGCTCTCATCTTCTGGTTAATGAGGTTTGTGAATGGCATGACAATGAAGCAACGTCAAACATCTCCTTAACCCATCCAGGAGAGGGCAATATCTCTTCAGTTTGCTCAGAGAAACACTACCCCKGAGGGAAGATCAGCACTTGGGTAGCTCTGCAGAATCAGTGTTAGAAAACTGAGTTACAGCTACCTTATTAGAACCCTATTAGTTCTTAAAAACAAGATTAAACTAAGAACTGTACAGATAAATATGATACTGTACATGTCATATTTACATGGTTCTGCTCCTGCAAACATCTATAAGGTCGGTAACTTCTACTCAAGACCATTATCCTAGTGTTTCAGAGCCAATAAAACCAGGAGTGGTTAAAAAAAGCAGCTATTYAAGGCAGAGCCTCAGAGTTTACTCAAGCTTCATTTTAAATAAGTTTTTCAGTTTGAACCCATAGTTCTTTCTTCATTCTTCACGTTTTAAGCGTGTTCTAGAAAATCTTCTAAGAACATGAGAGGCTATTCCTCTCATCTTGTGCTTAAGGGAGCAAAAAAGCTTTCCCTGTCACCCCTGACACAGGGGACGCTGAGGGGAAACAGAGTTTCTTACACTTGCACTTTTCCCTGACATTGTGAATTGAGAGGCTCAATAAGCTGAAAACTCAACATCAAGCTTTTCTTGAGGAAAAGAGAGCTGATCTGACTTCATTAGGTGCCTTTCCTCAGAACCCTCTTTTCCCATAAGATTATGAAAAAATAGGGGCAATTGTAATGGCACTCAACAGTTACTGCCAATAATACTGCCCAATATTGTTTTTTTTCCCCTCCCCTGTTATGCAGCTTGTGTTACTATTATTATTACTACATCTTATACAACAGAATCTTTTAACCAAACAGAGGTTATATAACACAGATTTTTAACCAAAGCTTTAAAATAACAGTAGTATATATAGTACTGTTAACTTTTTGCTGGATTTCAGTTACCTTTTCTAGGATTAATAAGGTCAATAAYACAGAATTTGGAACACAGAGATAGCCTGTGGTTCATTTATCAATATCAAGTACGGAGCAGAGCTAGCTCCACTTTATATTAAATTTCTCCTTAAACTCAATTTCCCCAGCGTGACCTATAAAATCATCTCTCTTTTACTGTTGTAAGAGAAAAATGCTGAAAGATTTTCAACTTTCAATAACACTTAAACATTAGAATTGATACATCTTAAATTCCTTTCCTCTGAATTTATATTRTTATTTCATTATATTATTATTCCTGCAGGTGCAGTTCCAATTAATGATAGGTACTGGTTGGAATCAGTTTCATATTTTGGACATATTCTGATTATTTCTACAAAAACCTACATCAAGAAACCTGAAGTCTTAACACCRAGGAAGCAAGATCATGACCGTATCACATATTTGTCAGAAATATTTTTAGACTGGTATTTCAGACACATAGTCCATACCTAAATTGAAAASTAAACCAAGGAGTTTGACAGAATTACTGATACTGGATAAAAAATCCCCCTCTCCTGGAACATAAATGGTGTTAAGCATTTTAAAGCCTTGACCTAGTAGGTCTAATCTTGCTTTGAATACACAGCATTTAACCCTCATTAAARCCAGCTGGCATCCTGCCACTACTACCAAGTTCTGCTGACTTGCTTCAGCTATCATCAATGGTTCCTGGACTTGTGATCCCAAGCTCTTTATGATTATTAACTTCTGTCATAACTGTACAAAATAAATAAAGGTGAGGTGCTGAGGTGAAGGGCACTTCAAACGACTAGAATTCTTCCCATCTTCAGAACTGTTTTCTTTATACTACATTGCATCATACAGTCATTTTAAAAAGAGAGCCAGAATGGAGAGAGGTTGTTTGTACCTTTATTGACTGCAAGACACTAGTCCCCTTCTCAGTTTCAATATCGCAGTTATCACATTCTATTTTCTGAATCTTCACACAACCAGTCCCTGACGTTTTGATATCCAAATCTGGAATTAAAAGAATTATTAGCAACGGAAGGAGAAAAGTCAACATTCAATTACAATATATAGTAACTGCACAGAGAGTGGGTGTTGGTGGGGGGTTTCAGAACAAGCTTCTTGCAAACTTTGTCTGCACACTTGCAAGCGTGGCATCACTATTGACAGCTGATGGTGAAAACTGCAAACTGTACACAACCATCCTGCTTAAAGAGAGAGTATTTGAAGTGGCAGCAGAGTGAGTGTAACCTTTGGCAAGGGCCTGGCACAGTGCAACTCTTCAGGGATTTATTTGAAACCCACTGAGCCCATCCCTTGACCTTCAGCCTCTTTGATCTTCTGCCATCCAAGACTCCCAAACTCTGCATCTCACATAGACCCTAATCACCAACTCTCCAAACAATTCATTTGGCTACAGTGAGGTGTGTTTGGAGCTTTGTTTAGTTATTTGGTCCTGCTGTAGCTTTTTGGGGTTGTTTTCTTTTTAGGCCGGGTAGGTGGGGGAGCAGATGTTGGTGTGGCAGTTTTAAGAGGGTTCAAGCGAGCAAACCTGACTTTGCAGAGCTGTGCCTTGTCATGTTTGGACCTATCTTGCTTCCATTGGCAAACAGCAAAACAAATGAGTATAGAAGAGTTTGCACTTGTCATTGTTCTTTTGGTGAGCCTGACTTACCCTCCTGGCACAAAGGAACACGAATTACTGGTTTTCTCATCTGAATCACCTTATTACTGCTCACAAATCCCCATAAAGGAAAGTCACCAGGGGTGATAATGTGGTTATCAAGGGAGTAACTTATGGCCTCACAGCAGTTCATACAGAAGAGCAAAAGCAGTTTTTCTGCCACTTACACTCTGTAGTGAGTTTAGGGGAATGGGCAGAAGTTTGGGTTCGTGCAGCTAAGGCAGGCTGATTGTGCCAGCAAACAGTTCTATTAATGATCAGAGTAAATACTGATAAGAGGTAAATGAAGGGCAAACTGTCACCTGTTCTTTAAAAAGAAAGAGAATTGGAATAGGAGTCAGAAAGGTGTGCAGAGAAGCTAGTAACTGAAGGGCTAACAGAGGCAGGGAGAGAGACCACTTACACTCTAAAGACCGCAGAGGAGAATATACGGGATGGGGGAATCCCTCAGCTCAGTCAAAGCACTCCTTTCATTTCCAAGATCTTCCAAGGTGACCAGCAGTATTAGAAGCGTTAAATAAAACATAATCAGAGTGGAAAGATCAACACTGAAAAGTTGCTGTTCAAAACAGATGCTGAAACCATAACGAGTAGCCCATAGATGATGGAAAGAAGAGAATCTGAGAACTGCAAATATCCACGAAGGGGAGTTTTTCCAACTGACAAAGCAGGAGAATCCCGCACCCCTGCAGACACAGAGGAAACATGTCCCATCTTTGCTGTAAGAGGAGTGTGTTACTGCCAGTGAGCCAGGAGGTTAGGCTTACTGGGGGATGCACACAAGGTGGTATCAGGAAAGAGAAGGGGCTGGAAGAGGATGGGATAAGCAGGTTTTGCAGAAAGCTAACTAAACTACACCTAAAGTTCAATAAACCCTTTGCTTTGAGAGGGTTTGAGCTTTGAGAGCTTTGAGACATGTCAGAGGGCAAAACCCAACCAACTGCATGCACAACAAGCATCACGAACAAGGGCTTGAGGGCCTACACAACTATGTTAATTTTGGAGAAGCCCAGACAGTTTCCTCAAAAGAAAAACAGTCATCAGTGGTATTTCTACTAATTCAATTTGAACAGTGCTGATCTAGAGGTTCTGAAGCAAATGGACAAAACTCTTCCATAAGACTTCACTTCTTGGGGAGTTGTTTAGATGTGGTCCCGAGAGAGGTCTGCGTAGGGCCACRTCCTGGCATCTGAGTTGGAAATGATGCATCCTTGTACAGCAGAAACCTTGGGAGTTCACAAAAAAAAAACCCGACAAGATTATTTTTGCAATCCAAGCTGTCTTGCTCAAAACTGGGATTCTGGGCCWGGAAACACTTTGCAGAGTGGGCGTGCTACAAGAAGCACTAGTGGTCAAGGAATGGAGTCCCGCTGTCTCATGAGGAGGCCTCCTAAAGCAGGATAAGTGACCCCACAAGGAAGCCACAGAAGAGCTGGCTAGCACTGCCAGGGAAACTCCAACAAGCACAGAGAAGCCAAACACATACCATTTCAGTGCCAAAATGGCAAAAATAGCTACTCTGTTCTTCCCTCAGAGAAGCTGTGGACGCAGCCATTGTCAGCCACACAAACCTCAAAAGGCACCCACAGATCTTTGGAGTCTAAAGGACTCTCACAGAAAAAAAGAAACATGATCGGGGAAAATGAGACTTGTGGTATCAGCAGGTAGGTAGAGGTGCCTCAAAAGCTACAGTATTTCAAACTGATTGGTGAAACACTTCCTTTAAAATGACTTAGAAGCCCTGGACCACTCAAAAGTGCATCAAGACAATCTGCTTCTCTGGCCACACAGGAAGGTTCGGGGTAGACACTGATKATCTGGTTTCCACCATATTACATGCTAACATCAGGAAAATACCCTGTTGAAAACATTCACATCTGTTTTCTATTACCACTTATAAAAAAAAMCCCAAAAAGCAGGAACAAACAGTCCAAAGAGCTGCAGTAGGCAGAAGGAATGGCTTAAATGAGAACATAAAATGATGAAATTGTGAACTAGCAACATCAAGAGCCAGGCATTCATTGCATTTGCCTACGCCAATATCCCAACGCCTTGCAATATGCCTTGCAATATGCCAATATGCCAAACCTTACCCTGCATCCACAGGAAGCTACAATACTTTGTCAAGAATGGTCCCATGGACTTAAATAAGACTTAAGTGGGAGGGTTAAGTGCTCCCAAAGAGAAAACTGGTGCAGGATACTGAAAGACAAACCAAGACTAGAGAAAGGAATATAAGCTCTTGCTACACCTACAGGGAGTCTTATGGCACTATTTAAAGCTACCATCATCCTCTGCATTTGCTTGTCACTTTCTATACAGTTTCAGTTAACTTGCAGCTTCTTGATAAACTCCAATATAAAGATGYAAAAGCTGTTAAGAAATGCCCCAARTCAAAAAACAAGCTGGGATTGCAAAAACATGCACCTCATTTCCTTAACTTCTTACAGCTAAGTGGCAGAAGAGGATGGATAAAGTGATATAAACAGTGTTAATAAATACACACACACACACACAGCCCTACCTCATGCATTCAAAGAAGGTCTGCAGAACGCTGAAACACTAGCAAGTGATTTATGATGCTTCCTTTCTAGATCAAAATTTGTTTTACAAGAAGAAGATGCTGTGTTTATGACAATACTGATGTCTAATGGATACTTCTTTCCTATACAAAGAAACGACCCAGACACAATAAATGTAGTAATAAAAAAGATAATGCCCAAACAAACTAGAGTTGAGGAGCACTTAGAAGTAGAACCTCACAGGCAAGTTAGTTCAAATCTCCACCATAACACTAATAATAGGGTGTTTTTCCAGCCACAACCTGAGATAAAACTCTGGATATAACTAGAGAACAACCTGAACAACATCAGCATCACAGGGACTAGGGTGCCAACTAGTAAAAAAAGAGGGAATGCAATAAACACTGCACAAGATGCTTGAATTTTACAGTCTCACCACAAAATCAAGTTGAACAACTTGCTTAAAAAAACTAAYAAAACCGCTTTCAAGAACATAAGCAGCAAGAAGCCTGACAGTCTGCAGAGCCAGCTGATGTTCAAGCTACAGGTAGGTGTCTTAAAGCTGAGCCCACAATTGAAAGGCTAAATGAATTCCTCACATCAGAGTTATAATAGAGACCTTTCAGAAGCTTCCTAGCACTGTAACTGTTTCTGAAGGAAAAGACATCCTGGATCTTAAYGTAACAACAACTTCCTACCCTACCCCTAACCAAAAAAAGGAAAAGAAAAAAAAAGTAGAATAATCTGGAGTAGCACCTAACAGTTATTCAAATATGATTCTTGGATTTTTTTTTTAATTATTTGTAAGCCAGGGATTSATTTCATTAATGAAATACAGATGAGTAAATGTCATCTTTGTACTTTCYAAGTAGGGAAAAATTGGAACTTAATATATCAACAATTCATAASGATTCATGTAACACTATCTCTGAGAAGTCCCACCTGGCAGAACTACCACAGTTCACTGAAAAGRGCCAGTGAGCATGTAGATAAGAGCTGATAAAATTACAAAAAATAAACTTTGATTTTTAGAACTCCTTGGCAAGGTCCTTAGTCCAYATTTAGTTTCTTATCTTTTAGCTAATATATTATCTGTCACCTTTAACGTTGAATAAGTCTGAAAACAGTGCAAATATCRAGGTTGGCAAGTTTCATCCAAAATACTGAATTTGTCAGAGTAAACTAGAAAGCGATGGGCAAATTGCATAAAGGTCTTGGAACTGCACACCTGCATGCAGAAACAAGAAATGACACTTAATAGACACTATCCCTGAGCAATTCTTTGCCAGAAGGAATTCCACTTGCCAATAAGTTGGCATCTGAGCCACACCAGGCCTGGAACTGGAAACTGCTGATGGATTTAAGAACACTTGGATGAAAT